CGTTTATGCCGCTTTGTGTGCTACTCAATCGTCGTCATTGCACGCTGTCGTTACGCTGCGTTGTGGTGCGGTGCTGTTTGATGAGGGAAGGGTGCGATGCTACGGCTGCTGCGCACCACAACTATTTATTGTCTCTGCACCGGAATTTTTTTTTTCGGTTTGTGTGGCTTGTTTTTTTTCTTTTGCTTCACGATGAATTTGTTGGAGGAGCCTTGGTTTTGGTGCCTGCTTCACGGTGTTTCGCCTTTTGTGTCGGTTGCTGTACTTTCACGTGATGCTAAAGCGTTTGGTGAGGTGTTTGCCCTTTTTTTTGCTCCCTGCAGCCAGTCTTGTTTGGTCATGGCGACAGCAATGGGACTCTGCGGCCGCGTGTTCGTCGCACGTGTCGCATCTCCCGCGGTTGCTCCCTCGTTTTGTTGGTGGGGAAGGAGACAAGCGATTGCGTCGGTGAAGTGGCGCCCCAGTGGGAGAGGGAAGACACCGGCCGCCGCTGACGGCGACGGTCTTTGCTGCGGGCAATCTGACGAGATGACGTTACCGGTGTCACATCCAACCGAGATGGATGAGGGCCGCACTGCGTCTCCTACCCCTCTCATCATCCCCTCAATCCACTGCAGTCACACTCCACAAGCACCGCAGAGCAGCGTCGCGACCACCATCCGGATGTCTGTTAGCCAATCGGAATGTGCAATCGGTGTGGACTCTTTTCCCCGCGTCTGAGTGCCGCCGCCGCACTTCTTTATTCGTACTTTTCGTGTGTGTCGTGTGCGCTGATGGTGCCGCTGCTTGTTGTGCAATGCCGACCCACGTGAGCGAGAAACGACGCTTTGACTGCTGGCAACTGGCGAATCCTCCACTCCTCTTCCGCGTCAACACTTTATTCTTTGACACGCTCGATGGCTGGCGGTTGCAACGCCGCCACGTGGGTCCGTCTCGGCTGTTTTGTGTGTTTTTCACTGCATCGGGACTGCTCTGTGATGTGGCCATTGGGTAACAGGAGCGGCGGCAATGGTCATGCATCTTTTCGCCGGGATCCCACCACACTGCATGGTGGCTGTGCGGGACTGCGTGGGCGGTGGGAGGGCGATGGCGTCACTGCGTGGTTGCGTCTGTGCTTTTTTGTGTCGGTGGCTGCGCTTTGGTGGGGATTTTCTGTGGCCGGATGCTTCTGCGTGCCACTGTGTTTAGTGACTGTTGTTTCTGTCTTTTTCTTCTCCGACCGAGCAGACGGAGGTAGTTTGGTTTGACCAGTGCAAATATCGTTTCAAGCTATTAGGGGTTACTTGCAGTATTAGGATTAGCAGTAGTGGGTTAACGATCTGGCGGAATTGTGTCACTGGATTCGCCATTTGTGGGAAAGGGATTTGCGAAGCAGGAGTTACGGTCGACTGGGCGAGAGCGATAGACTAAGAAAGCTTTGTTGATACCTGTGTGGGTTGGAGGATGCGGTCTGCGGTGGGTGCGTGTCCGCGCAGCCGGCACCGCGAGCGGCACAGGGCCATTGCGGCTGTGCGTGCGGTGC